GCTCCACATGGCTTAAGTATTGTGCTGGACTGCAAAGTATGCCAGGAGGGATTCTGGGCAGCTTCACTGGGACAGTCAGGTTTTGGACAGAGTAGTGTTTTAGCCTTGATGTTACAATGTTGGATTCACAGCAAGAGAAAACTTCAGTGGTCTACATTGTGCTTTAAGTGAACATTGCACTGTCAGTTTACCTAATGAGTTATCTTTGGACACTACACTATAAAATCCTAAAGTCAGTAAGGCCCCTGGGAGAAAAAAACAGTTTGCAAGATTTAAGATGTACTTTGTTTTGAATGAGGATACCAAATAAAAGTGGACAGAAGTTGGCAATCTGAAGCTCTGTGAGAACAAATAGGTGGTGACCTAAACTGTACTTAAGGCTGGGCATGTGAGTATGTTGATGTTGGTGATTACAGTATGCTAAGTTATTCTTGATAAGAATTTGAACAGTGTGGATTTTGTTATAGTTGCACTGAAACAATTGTGGGTCAAAAGATATGTTAGCACCCACAAAAGTCACCTGTTCTCAATGTTCCGAGTCAGCTATTTTGCTCTGAGATGAAGCCCAGCTGCAGGATATAAAATTCAGTAGTAGTGTTGGCTGTTGTCTTTGGTCTTTATACAGGCTTAAATTTTGTATCAGGGCTGACTGATGTGGCAGTGTGCTCCAGAGGGATGCAGTTAGTGCTGGATGATGTCCTTCATTACCCAATGATAGTTTAACTAGCTCAAGGCTAGATAACTGGAACCACATCTATCTGAAACAGTAGTTCTACTTCAGGTGAAGTCGTAGACTTCAAAGGAAATTGGAAGTGGACTTGATCAATCAACACTGACTGGACATTGTGGTTAATCACCAAGAAAAAAATCTTTTGTGCTAGTGATGTTTTTACAGGGCATCAAGTATCAGAGGATGTTGCTGATGATACTTAACAGCTGCTTTTTGTAGACTGACTTTCACTGCATGCAAGTTGTCATAATCTGTCATATTAGAGACACTATTAGACCTTTTTTCATGCATTTTAGGTCTAGCAGAAATGCATATTATGGGCCATCTTGAACAAAACAAGTGTCTCTAGTAAAACTGGACTTGTCAGGAACCTGAAGCATATATGAGCTAGGTTGTTTTACTCTGGACTGATCCAGGTTTTCAGCTGACAGAGCCTCTCAGGTCTGTTTTCACTTGTCCCTCTGTAGGGTTCCAGCTGAGTGCAACAGCAGGTCAGCTTTTCTTGCTGCTAAGCTATGCTTTTAGAAGGAAAATAATATACAGAAGTGTAGAGCCATCTAACCTCAGCCCTGGCACGTTCATTTGCAGCTACTTCCATGCATATGGGAAGTTCCACACTGACACCATTTCTAGAAGGCCATTTCAGAGCTTGAGAAGCTTGTCCTTAACATAGTCAGAAGTGTAAATTCCTCTTAAATCTTGCAATCATTACATTCAATGCTAAGGAGAGAAGAAAGCATCCACCCAAGAAATGCTGTATGTTCTCATCTTTTGTCTATATCAAGTTTTCAAGCTCTCTTTCTAGCTTCTTAAAGTCTTTCTGGATAACAGTTTGGAGGAGTGGACATTTTCATAGTTCTTAAAACACAGCAAACCTTCCGGTATTAAGGAATATTTGAGAGCCTTAAGTTACTGTTTGAGTTGATCTAGATACAAGTTTCAAAAATATTCTTATAAATTGAAATGTATTCCTATATCACATGTTGTCATCTTGGTTCTCATCTTCTTCAATTTCTTTCCTTCTCTTAGAGAGGCTGTTCACTGAACTGTTACCACCTTCTGCTTGATTTTGTTTCGTATCTACTATTGCATTGTAGTGCCAGTCCTTTCATTGTGCTTCTCTATTTGCTAAACTCATGCCCATAGAAAGAACTTTTGATTTTTATTGGCAACATTTTCTGAGGGATGAAGGTGTGAATGAAAGTATTTGTATTATAAAACTGAGTCCTGGACCCCTTATTTGTTTGAGGAAGTGGTAGGGATTCAGTTAATCTGTTCTGCAGTGGTTTTGTGCTTGCCTGTAGACTTCAAAATATTTCAACTCTGTGCCCCTACTCTGACCTTCAGAAGTAATGTTATCCAATATTTAAACCACATGCATGACCCTGTGAACTCTTAGGAGACTGGTTAATATCAAAACAAATGCAAAACCTACACAGAGGCATTTACTTAAGATACTGAAAATATTTTAGTGGAGAAGGGAATGATGCAGCTGAAGAGCTGAAGCATGGAAGTTACTGTAGGTATAGCTGGAGTTCTCTTTGGGCAGTTAGTGCCACTCAGTGCTATGTATTTGCTACTTGCTTGTTCATGTTGGAATTGACATATGTAATACACTTCTGAGACAGGTTTGGGTTTTAAATCTGATTCTACAGTCTCAAATCAGAGTTAGGCAGGTTGTACTTCTGGCTTTTTATTGCCTCAGAAAATACTTGCTTACAAATGCCTCTGTATGGCAGGTTTTTTCAGATTATGAATGTTCTCATTGATGGGGAGTAGACCAAGTGCATTTTTCAGCCCTGTGTTTCAGAGCATGCTTGCGAGATACTTGGAAGAGTGCTTTCTCTGCTTTCTGATGTTGCTTGTTTCCACAGCATTGGTGCACAAGTAGCATTTGAAGTGTTCCCTAAGCTATAGTGTGCTGTGGAAAAGCTGCCTCTTCAAAGAAACACGTTTTAATAGGTTACTTTTTAAGATGAATGTCTAAACCAGGGACCCTAATTAAAAACTCCCTAAGATAATGTTTGTTTCTCATAGGCTTGGAAATTTGATCAGACTATCCTGAAAATGAAGTTTTAAGGCTTAGGAAGCAGGCCTTGCATTTTCTCTTCTTTCAAGAAAGATGAATGTGCAAAGAAGCAAGAGTACACCTAGTGATGAGGTTCTATGTGTAGAATCAGCTGGATCACACTCGAAGTTGCTTTTGTTCAAATCTAGTTTTTTAACTATTTAGTCATTCTGTAGAAATTGTTGGAGCAAAGACTGAGTAATTTTCAACAACCTGGGATTAATTCCCAGTTTAGCTTTTGTTGATTGTGTGATTTATTGCTCAATCTTGTGGATTCTGAAATATAAATCCTGTGCTGTTCTTGTGTTTGCTTTTCCCTCATTCACTGTTTGCACTTTTCTTCTGGAACTCAAGAAATTTGGCTGCACAGGTTCTGAAAATTTGTTTTGCCAGACAATTTATTTTGACTTAACATTACTTCCATTTTCTTGATTCCTAATAAATTAATAATTCTTATTGTCACACTGCCTGCCTCCAAGCAAACATCTGTCTATAGTAAAAGTAAAATTCAACAGGAAAAAAAAGGGCACATGCTGGTAGGTTGATATAGCTACACTGATTTGAAACTTGATTGTTAGATCTTGTGCTTGAATCCGATGTCGGATTGTTGATGATTTGAAATCAGAGTTTTTTGTCTTGCAGCAGCCACTCTAGTGAATTCCAGATACTTCAGTGCAGTGGTTCTTAAGTGTGCGTTCAGCCTTTGCAAAACCACGGGAGGGTCCTTGAAAAAGCTGCCTTGTTGTGAAATGCAGTTTTCATAGTCCTACTGAAGGTGTTGATTTCTGAAACTTATGGGAACATTTAAAACTGTTTTGTTAATTTATCTGAACTAAATTAATCTAATGACTATTTAATTTTTCTTCCACTTTTCATTTCTTTTAGCTGGGAAATGACAGCAAACATATGAAGAACTGTTGAAACTTGATTGTCTCCTGGTTTTGGAAAAGTCTTAACACATCTAACTCGTCACTTTATGTGATTTAATGGGAAAAACTGTTCGTTGGCCACAGATGGCTACTGCTAAGCAGCTTTCCAAAATTTGTTTTGCATTATGGAGATACAGTAAAAATCAGGCTTATGATGACACTAGTTCCGTTTGAGGTCGCTTTTGTCCGAAACGAGAATGGCTTTTTGGCCATGGGTTTCTGCAGTGATGTAAAACAATTGCTCAGTGATTATAGGTATCATGTTCTTTAAATGTGTTAAAGATAAAAAAGTGCCAGTAAATCAGATCTTGCTTTTTTTGTCAAAACTTTGACACTTCACTTTTTCAATAATCACTCCTCCCTCAAAAGAAGGGGAGTGGAAAAGAGGGGGAAGGCTGTACAGTGCACACATTCTACTTCCCACCAGAAGGTGATGAATCCAGCGTGCCAAACCCAGCGGGAGCCCTGCTCCGGTGAGCCACAGGCATATGCTTAAAGTAGGAAATGGTTATTGGAACTAAATTATTTTGCCATTTTCATTTTTAGGTTTGCTGGCATGGGTAATCTCATTAAGGTGCTAACCAGGGACATAGACCACAATGCAGCACATTTTTTCTTGGATTTTGAAAGTAAGTCTCTCGGCCTTTCACAGCTGGTGCATTTCAGATGGTAACAATAGGGTTGCTTATACCTGCTGCAGTAAAGGCTAGGGGACTCCATTGCAAATCTGCAATTTGAAAGAGTTTTTTTTTTCTTCTTTTTTTTTCATCCCCTCTGCAGTAGTAGCCAAAACACCATCATGCTGCTGTGTACATTTTCTTTCCTTGTGCTTAGCCATTTTGGGTCTCTGTGGTCAGTGATGTTCATCCATCTGCCCTTTTTTTTTTTCTTCTTTTTTTTTCATCCCCTCTGCAGTAGTAGCCAAAACACCATCATGCTGCTGTGTACATTTTCTTTCCTTGTGCTTAGCCATTTTGGGTCTCTGTGGTCAGTGATGTTCATCCATCTGCCTGCAAATCAAATAATCATAAACCAAAAAATTCTGTCAGTCTGCCTTGGTAATCTGTGCTGAGCAGATCTTCACTGTAATCCTGTTTTATGTAAGAGTGAACACTAAATCATTCATGATCCTAGTTTGGTCATTCGTGGTGCAGTTAATGTGCATTTTTCACATCCAAAAGTCCAAAGTGGAATTGTCTGAGCTTTACAAATGTTTTTTAACAACTTGTGTGAAAGATCTGTGGTGTACTTGTATTAGCATTTTCTGCACACTGGAATGATGTATCTTGATGAAGTTTTCTGTGATGGCTTTCTGACAAAATTATAAGGGCTGAGAAAATTAAAGGTCTTTCCTTCTGTTGTCCCATCAGGTAAAAATCTGTAGCATGGCTACCATGTCAGTGCTTGCAAATATGGTACTTAGCCCTCAATATGGTACCCCTGCTCAGGACACCGGTGATAGGGTGTATCGGGACAGAATTAGTCACTGACGATGCCTTCAGTTGGAGTTCTGCCCCTTTCTCAGAGAGGGTGGCTGTGAAGATGTTGGTGACATGGTCACTTCTTACAGGGAAGCTGCATTGCATCTCTGGGATCACCAGCTGTACGCCCTCCAGGTTGGGGTCTCCCTCCACCCATCAGGGCAGCAGCCTGAAGGACAGGTTCATGCCTGATGGAATTCTCTGGTCTTCTTTCTCCCACTGCTTCAATCAACAATATTTGGGGTGTTCCTTCTTATAAAAAGAAAATTTTCTTTTCTCTCATTCTTGTCTTGGCAGGTACCTTAACATGGGGAACCTTCTAAAAGTTTTGACATGCACAGACCTTGAGCAGGGGCCAAATTTTTTCCTTGATTTTGAAAGTGAGAAGATGATTTTATATATCTATTACTCTTTGCCTGCAGTAGACTGCATTTGTCATGTACTTAAATATGTGTTTTCACCTTGCCGTTCTTATAGCAGCTTTGCATGCCTGAGCTATGGATAATTGTTCAGCAAACGTTTGCAGAAAGCACTGATCTGTTTTTAAAAAACACACTTTCTAAAATATAAAATATTAAATTGCATTTTGTTGTTGGGATCTGATATGGTTCTAGCTTAAAATTAAAATTATTTTTCCTTTTAATCAAAACTTTAATTTGAATTATTTTAAGAAATGACAAGGAGATACATGCATCTGAAAAGAAGGGACTGAGTATGATTCACTTTTTTCCAGTGTTCCTCTGCATGCTAAGTGATGCTGCATATGCAGATGGGCTCACAACAGCTATTCATAGCTCTCCAGCATCATCACATTAAAGGTGTATATGTGAACCTTATTTGATTTGGCATTGAAATTTTTCAGTTAACCTCACCCTTCCTTAAAAGAGGGGGCTCAGAGAGTACAGAGATGAAATTGCTTTAGAAAAGAAGAGATGTATAGCATGCCTGGTCAATGCCAAGCATTCTGGAAGGTTCACATATTTTTTAGTTTCTTGCTTTTAGTTTTCATTGCATGATGTAACATAGCCTAAGAATGGCAGGTAAGTGTTACTGGCTGTTGCTGTGCATGTTTAATTACTTTCTTTTGGGATGTGCTGTTGCTTTACCCAGCTGTACATCAGCAAGCATAAAATAACAAAACTAATGCTCAAGTGCATTTTGACCATGTAATAAAATACAACAGAATAGGATAACAAAAAATGATGAAGTACCGTGATACTGATAATTAGAGATTCATTGTATCTTGTTTTCTTACCCCAGTTGTTTTACAGTTATGCTTGATGAAATGGTAGCAATTGGTTATATTAGTTCTGATGTGAAAGCAAATGCTTGGAGAAATATATTTTTGTTTCAGTGATGTTTAAAGTTATAACTTCTTTAAACCCTTGTCCTGCACTGTTGATGTTATCAATTGTCTCTTCTGAATATATTGTTATTGGAAGACAATAGCTATGCAAATTATTCATAAAGGGGAGATAATCAAGGGCTGTATTCAAAAGACAGAAAGCCAAAACGTGTTTAAAACCACTTCAGCTCTTACAGATCATCAGAATAGATACAACTTAGAAAAGCAGGGAGAACTGATAGGGGAGCATATTGGAGTTGTGAAGCTCCAGCTTATTCTGCAAATACTAACCACTGAATTGGACTAAATTAAATTCAAGTTAGCTGGATACAAGAGGCATAGTTCTAAAATAAATTGCAATAAAAATTGCTATTTTTAAAAAACAGTGATTCCTTATTTTGTTTTAAAGTGCATGTTTTAAGCATGAACAAGATTTGGCATGTGAGGAAGCAGGTTGCTGACATGAAATGTTTACATATGCAGTCAAATTAAGTGACATTATGGCTGAATTGTTAGACTGTTTATTCATTTTGGATCCTGTCCTGCGTTTTTTCTGCTGCTATACTGTGTATCCATGCTGCTTTCTACTCTGAGATAGCTTGCCTTGACAGGATCTTGGCTTTGACACAGTCAAGATCTTTCTTCAAGACTTGGCACTTAACTTTGCAATACTCAATGTTGTGTTATTATGTGGAAGAGCAAGTAAGTTCTGTATTAAAAACAAATTTGCCCATTCTATGCAATGCCTGGCCCAGTTATACAGAAGTATTCTGTTCTTAAATCCATATATATATTTGGAGTGAGAGGCTAGTTAGACATTTCTTGCACAACACCATAATAAGCTAAACATCTAATGTACCTAAAGCTGTATAGGGATACCAGCTGTAAATTTAGAAAGCTTTTAGAGTGTTTTCTAACATTTTTTCCAGAAATTTGTCTCGGTGCTAGATTCCAGTGATTTGTGTGACTGACAATGATGACACCCAAAACAAGTTCCAATGAATCGTATAATGAGCTTTTGGCTTTCCCTTGCCTTAACACTGGATAAGCTTATGTTTTCTTTGGTCATTCACTTTACCTATTGGAAACAAATAGTTGTCTTAAGTATTCTACTAAAGTCTCTGCAGTACCACTTTAACATGGGCAGAGAAAAAGGCACAACTTAGTAAAGGCAATGTTGTTCACATAAAACAGCCACCTACAACGTTGAGAACTCACTGCTCAACTTTTACATTGATGTCATTAGTGTCACAGTACAATCTTTTCCAACTTCGCTGATTTGAATAGTAGCTAAAGTGCAGAGTACTATTTTGCACATGGTGATCTTAAGCTAGCACTCTAAATAGTCTGCATTACCTCCAAAGAACTTGCCTACATTTCAGAGGAGCCACAAAGATAGCATTCTGCATAGTAATGATAGAGATGAATAAATTATTTCATCCCCAGCAGTCTGGGATTTTTGTCTCCCTTGCCTATGAGTTTTTTATCCCAGCCAGTTTCAGATGACTTGATGTGTTCTTCCCTGGGAAAATTCTCAGTTTAAATAGTGTTTGCTATGCAATATAAACTTTTAACCCCAAATTTCTCTCCAGAGTAGTTTTGTAGACTAGCCAAATACTATTTTTTTTAAAAGAGTCACTAAATGTGTGTGTTCCCTGCGTGCAATATGTTGTCATACTTCCATAGCATTTAATTAGTGTAACAGCATTTGTATATTGTTTCGAGTTTACTCTTCTGTCTTTAATACGTTCTTGTGTTATTCTGAATTCTAAATGTATATTCCATCCAGTGCAGTAACGTTCTGAATAAATTTAAAATTAAAGATGAACTCCCTGTATACTTGAGGGAACTTACTATTCGATTTCAAATTTACTATTTGATTAAAAATGGGAAAGTTGCCCTGAATAACCAGAGGTCAGCTCCTTGGGCAACAATGTCAAACCTCAACATTTCAGTAGGCTGTGCTGTGCTTACTGAATTTCTTCTTTTGGTGGAAAATGTTGGCAGGTAAAGGCAAAGCATTGTCATAAAGTTTTAACAGGAATTTAGATCCATGGAAGGGAAAGGAGGAAATCCCTGAAATTACTTGCCTCCTTCATCCTGCTGTTTGCATGCCTGGCAGTGCTGGTTGCTTCTCTTCGTTGTCAAGACCAACGCCTAGAGTTCAGCTCCCTTTCCTCCTCTGTGTACTTTACATTGAGGAAAAAAGTCCCACAATTAGTGGTTCTTAAGTGAAAGTCTCGTAGCTGGAGTTCACAGGTACATAGTGATATGTGGGAATGCTCCTTCCATCTGTTCAATATAAAAGTGCTTGGGAAGAGAAACCTTCCCCTCTGTCTGATGGGTCTTCAGAATGCAGTGCCCTAACTGGCACAGGAGCAAATAAACCAGTTGCTCTGAACCAGAAGAATTTCTATAATGTGCCTTTTAAATTTATCCTAATGCATCCTAAACATATTGTGAAGTGGATATAAAAGAATTTAGGTTACTTCTGAAGTGTGAGCTCTTTCCTAGGTGCATAAGAATTACAGATGGGAGAGGAATTTATTTGGGGCAAACAAGGTTTACAGCTTGCTTCTGTTGGAGAGGACTAGGTGCACCAAATGTAATATATACCAAAAGAAATTATCCAGTGCCTGCTGCATTTTAAAACACACAAGTTTTTTATAATCACGAGAGAAAAAAAACCCCTGCCACCCTAACAAATTCAGTCTAAACTATTGTTTTAGGTTTGCAGGAATGTTTTAGGAACACAAAACACAGTAGTTGGCTGATTACATCCTAAGTGAAACACACTAACAGAGGCGTAGAAGGTGTTGACTTGCATAGCCAGCTGGTCAGTGGAGACCACTTAATTTCTATCTGGAAGATGATTTCCATTTCTGAACTTGGAAGGTCATGGTACTACATTGTCAGTAGGTTTTGAAATGAGGAGGAGGAATTTTTGTGGGCCCTTCTGCAGTGCGCCACACACTCACCCCTGTGTTAACAAATGAACTCTCCTTTCTAGAGGGAGTAAAGAAAAAATAGCATAAAACATTAAATAGGCAAGAGATGTGCACAGTGTGAGATAATCCAAGTGGCAAGTCTTGATTGCATTATTTAACACCACAATCTGGAATGCTACAGAGCTTCACATTTTAGTCTGTATTTCACTATAGCATTTCATGTTTGTGCATGAACTGCTGCCAGTCAACTGGTGCTTACCTGTCTGCTCTTTTCCCTCATTTTTTTGTCTTCATTTCTTACAGCAGTCTTCAGCAGCTTTCAAAATTATAAATGTGACCTTTGTGGTGACCTGAAAAGCACTGGCCACTTTACTCAATGCCTAATCAATGTGGTGCTCCTATATGTTGTTTTGTTGTTTGTTTTTCTTGTTTTAAAATAGGAGTGACCAGCTTTTTTTTTATCCATGCTAATTCTTGATGGTTCTCAAAATAGCTAAACTGTTGCAAGGTCTATATACAGGCATATTTGCTAATAATGCCCACTCTATCCATTAAACTAAAAAATAGGAAACATTATGCAAATATTACAGCAAAATCCAGACAGGCAATGCATGTGAAACTTATTTTCACCTAATACAAATTTCTTTTTCTAATGTTTTCTCTAGTGTGTAACACTAGAATATTGTGGTTCACTTTTTTCTTTTTAATGTAAGTATCTAATTTCCATCACTGTTAGTAGGAGTTATACATATGGATTATGGGAAAAGCACTTCAAAAAGACATTTTCCAGACTCTAAGCTGCACAAAATCACGAGGATGTATTGTCTGTAGGTAGCTTTTGTTTGTCCCTATAAAAAAGACTCTATTGTTAATACCCCAACTTTTGGCATTCGAAATTGTAGGTTGAAATATCCTGATATTTATTTCATAATATATTTTTCCCCTTTAAACAGAGAAGTGATTTTTTTCTGTCAGAGTAACTATTTTTCTTTTATGTATCAGTTTAAGAGGAACTAGCCCTGTGTCCATCAGAATTTTAAAAGAAAAATTGATCTCATATCAGTTAAACCAGGTACAAGGTATTTGTACTAGGTGATTAATTGTAAAGATTAAAGCTTTTATTTGATTTTTCTCAAGACATACTTCTTATTGAATGACATTTATTTAAACTTACATGTATAGCTTTTTTTAAACAATGATGAAATACATTTTTGGAAAGTCTTTAGCTCATTAACTGAAAAAGTGGGACACTATCCTTAAAGAAGAGGGAGGGGAAAAAACAAACAAGTTGCAACCAAATCTTTTTGTTCTCAACTTTGATTTTGCAATTAGTGCAATAAAGAATATGTTTTGAGAACTAAATATATTTAGAAGTAAAAGAAAAGTTTCCCTTACCAACTAGTACAAGAGGAGGCAGTGAAGATGGAAAATGGTTTCTAGATAACAATAGACACAAACAGCTCCTGTAATACTTGGAGTGTGTCTTTTGAATGCTTAACTAAGTATCTTCCATTGATCTTTTACTGCACTCTAAAGTGAGATTGATCATAAAGATCAATCATAAAGATGACTTGTCAAGATTTCTTCTCTTAACTCAATTTTAAATAAGTTAGGAAGGATAGATTCCAGGTGAAGTTTTGAGATGCTAACTGAAGCTAAAAGACTACTAAAATGAATGTGACTACATTCTTGCAGTCCTTCATACTGTAGTAGCTCTTCAGAGAATGAAAATTCTTGATGAGTTGCTGCATGAATAATTTGTCCCCTAGGTGATGGTGTGCCTGTTGAATTCCATATTGTTGTTAAATATATATATATTTAATATGTTCTACTGTTTAGATGCCCAACCTACAGAATCTGAAAAGGAAATTTATAATCAGGTGAATGTAGTGTTAAAGGATGCAGAAGGAATACTGGAAGACTTGCAGTCATATAGAGGAGCTGGCCATGAAATACGAGAGGTGAGCTAGAGTGTTAAGATTATGCACAGCCTGTGGCTGTTGATTGTCTACTCCTAACCAAATACTGCTGGATTTTAACTTTGCTTGCAGGAGCTGTTTTGGCAGAGCATGTTGTCTATTAAAATTGCTGTCTTGAATTTCTGCTCCAGAATTTTCCTGTTTAACAGCAAAACGGTTGTCACTTGTTTCAATATTAATGCACATAAGTAATAGCAAATTATGCATCTCAAAGTTTTATGGAATTGTAGTTATTATTTTTTTTTCTATTCCCACATAAGCTCTTCTTGAGTTAGGGGTGAGTTTG